GAATATTCGGTCAAACTCGGATATACACTAATCCGATTCGATAAATATCTAAACTGATTATATATATTTTATATATTATATTATATTATATTATATTATATTATATTATATTATATTATATTATATAAAAGTTAATGAAAAGAAAATGAAAAATAGCATTAGTTCAAACTCTTTCATTTTACCTCTCAAAAAAAAATAAAAGTCAAAAACCAAAATCGAACATTACATTCGAAGTTTCGAACTCTTTCATTTTACCTCTCAAAACCCTAGAAAACCCTAACCCTTCGTCCGTCACTCCCTCCGCCATTGCTGGTTGCCGCCCAAGCAACCACCACCGGTCACCCCCTCATCATCCGACCAACCACCAGCCATTTGTCGGAGTTCAAATGCCATCGTCACTCATCTTTGTCTCGTCTTTCCTCTTAGGCTCTTACCTCTATCTCTCTTCTCTCAGTCTTTGACTCGTCGCCCAAGCAACCACCATCACCAACGGCATTGCCAATGATAGCGGTCGAGCAACGGTCACCAGCCATAGCTCAAGCTCAGAGCTCAAGATCAACACCGTCTCTTTCGCTCAATCGCCCATTCGCCACTACTCAAGCTCAAGCAACCCTTAGACCTCAACCGTCCAGCATCACCGGCTTTGTGCTACAACCCATGACTGCCGATGGGAACCCATTGCATTTGCACTGCCAGAAACCCATGCTTGTCGTCGTCCCCTCCCTCTTTTCTCAAGGTGATTACAGTCTTACAGGTGGGAATCCATCGCATTCGGTCGAATCCGAATCGAATCGAATATTCGATTCAATAATCGAAATCGAATTCGAATTGATGTATTTGATATCCGTCGTATATCGAATCGAATTCAAATATCAGTAGCTATAATCGGTTTCAAATTCGAATATAGCCTGATTCGATTCGAATCCGATTTGTTTACAAGCCTAATTACCTATGCTATTTGGTTTTATTTTAATTTAGTAAATTAAATCTGGTTTAATTTATAATTTATGAACTATTTCATTTAAAGAAAAGTGTGCATAGAGTTTTTGCTTGGAAGGTATCCCCTCTAGTTTTTTTTTTTAATAGATAGTCATATGTATGAAGCAAGTATTTTTCATGGGAGATGCTTTCAAAGTCATATGTATGTGTTAGATTCGAGTAACCTATGTATTTCATGTTTTTTTTTATTTTTTGGTTCAACTATGATATGAAAAAGATATAATCCGAAAAACACACGTGACCAATCAACTAGAATCATAGACTTGATAGCGATTCAGGTGCTATTTATCAAAATTCATGGGTGAGTTTTGATTGGTCAAAACTCTTTCTATACCATATCTTTTCCATATCATAAATTTTCCCTTTTTTTATTTATTTTTATCAAATCATGTTGCCCTTAATCTAACTCCATCAATTTAAGCTTGTCTTACAGCCAATAGTCCCAAAGCCCAAATAAAGGAGGCGGGTTGTATTAAGTTGACAACTAACACTAAAACTATGAACAAAATGCCCATGGTCATGGGGCACTCAACAGATGGAATGACAAAATAAGAACATGTAGCTGACCCAATATATTTGAGACAAGGCTGAGATAATATTGACAATGAACAAAAGATTGCAGAAAATGTAGTAAGCACAAGTATTCATAATTAATAAAACATATATTCTAGCAAAAATTGCAAAAAATATATAAATGCACAAAAAAAACAACAAAAAGATTGATAAAAACCAGAAAAACAGTATATTTCAGTCAAACATAGTGGAAATTGCATAAAAACACACAAAATTTCATAGATAGTCCAAAATACAAGATTTTTTTGGGTGGATTATGAATTTGTATCTCTTTCTTTCTTCCTTTATTTATTTTGTAACATTTTACTACGTTTGGATAAAATTTATGAATTTTTATGCACATTTTTTGTGTTTTATGAATTTCTATATTTTTATGATTTTGAAAAAAAATGTTTTTTAAATATAATATAATGGTAGTTTGGGGTTTAAAAATGTATAACCACATTACAATCACATTGGAATATTCCATTCATTTAACAAAATGACAATGGCACCAGAAGAAGTGTGTGTGGATCAACCATAGAAGATGAATAGCACATATCTTTAATTGCACACTTGCCAAGAATGCCGGTGGAACTGTTTACTACCATCTAAAGTGGGCCATAGAATAAAAGACATATGGGATAAAATTGCTTTCCACTTGTGGAGAATATGGACAACCATAAATGAGTTTATATTCCAAGACAAAACCCCTTACCCAGTCATGATCGTAGAAAAACTAAACAAAGATTCCTGGACAACAAGGATGTCATTTGAGTTAATTATAGATAAAACTTGTAATCCAATGGAAATCTTCTAATTGGGTAATGTTTAAAGAAAAATTTGAAATTGGAATAAGGGCATTCCAGACTCCAGAGGGAGCAAAGGCCATACGTTTAGGGTATGTTTGGTTCATGGGAATAGGGGCATGGAATTGGAATCCGAATGGGTTATTTCAATTTCAATTCCAACTATTTGATTGGGAGGAATGACATTCTCTCTCCCCCCCCTCCCCCCTAACTAAATATACTATGGGAATAGGCCATTCCGATTCTAATTCTAAAGAATTTTGATTCCGATTCTGATTAGACCCTCAATGTTGCTTGGGGGAGGAGGGGAAGAGAAAAGCAATCCTTATATTGTTCTTCAATCATCAACATACATTTGGCTGGAGAGAGATTTGAAGATAATGATCAACTGTGTATCTTAGATCAAGCCACCTCGGAGCATTAAAATTATTATCAAAGACACCATATTCACTAGACCTGTTCATCGGTTCATGGGCTCGAAAAAGGGAACCAAGCAGCAAATTAGAAGAAGATAGCCAAATTGTTAGAGTTGCTGAGGATTTTGCTCGAAGAGAAACACACAGATTTCAAATGGACAAATCCAATGAAGAGAGTGAATGTGTTTAACCAAGTGTTCTACTTCTATAGTCTATATAGTCTATACCAGATTTCAGTCATAGAAATTTGGGAGAAGTACGGATAGGCGTAATATAGATTTCTGAATTCCACTGCAGATCTATAAACATTCAAAATGTCAAATACCCATACTTTATGCACCAACACCTGCCCATGAATTGGCATCAATTTTGAACTGGCACCTACCCCAACTATACTTTGATCCTATAAATTCTGACCCTGGGCTGAACCATCATTCTCCCTAGAAACTTCGAGTCTTTGATTGCGTGCTAGTTAATAGGTAGTTGATCGCTTAAGTATTTGGGCCTGAAAATGGGTTCCAGACTCGTGTCTTTTACATCTCCTTTCAAGGTACAAAATTTTGATTAGATACATCTCCTATCATATGTATCGTGCATTCGTATCATATCAATAACTTTTTGAAACCTCAAATAAGGGATATTTTGGAATTCGCCACTTTCAAGGGTGGCAAGCCTAAAATTAACCCCCTAAACAATTTTGAAAAAAAACTAAAAAAAGTTATCAAATATTGAAACACTCAATAGACATGCATATCAGTCTTATCGATACTTAATTTAAATCAAGGTTTTAAAAACCAACCCAGAAATGGAATCATTCTAGCTATCGATTTCTGGGTTAGTGATTAAACCGTCCAAGACAAACGGTTTTTTGGATGGTTTGCATTAGTGTAAATATTTCTCATATAAAAGTTTTATATGAGAAAGGAGAAGAGACTTTGTTGTGGGCTGAGAAAGAAAGAAGAAAAGAAGGAAAGAAATAAAGGAAAGAGAAAGGAAAAAAAAAAAAGAAAATCAGAGAAAGGAAAGGAAGGAGGGAAGGAGGGAAGAAGAAGGAAGAGGAGGGGGAGGACTCGACCCTCATTGACGACGATAATGGCGAGGTGACGGCAAGGCAGCGGCAACAGACGCAATGAGATCTGAGGTCGATTTCTCTGCAACGTCAACAATCTTCTTCTTCTTCTTCTTCTTCTTCTTCTTCTTCTCTCTCTCTCTGTGTTGGATCTTAGATCTGAGTTCATGTCTCAGATCCTCAATTTCTTCCCTCTCTATCCTCTGCAACTTTTTTAAACCACAAATCGATGTCTAGGTCGAACGAGTCGATGGTTCGACCGCTCGAATCAACGATTTTCTAACCAAGTCAACAATATTTTACCTAAGAATAGGTTAAGGGTGAAACGAAACCAGTTGCTTGGACGGTTTCTAGGCCAAACAGTCCGATCGTCCGAGTCAATGACGGTTCAAAAACATTGCTTTAAACCATGCCCCCTTCTATCTAATTGTTTTTGCTACTCCTTTGACGAGTTTGATCGTTTGTGGCTCTTCATTCAGGCTCATATTCGGTCAAACTGGAATGTTAGTGGTACCAAACTATGGGCTATATTTTTTGAAACCAAACCTAGAACTGAAACAAATTGAATAAACCAATTCACTAGTTGACTAGTTTCACCTATTAACAATTTGATTCTTCAATTTTTTGAGTTCACATCTGTGCCCCACAAGGGCACCCACTCCACTGTGTATTGGGAACATCTCCCGATGATAGTACTAGAATCGATGATATCATCATCTGATGTTCTCAATACACGGCGGAGATGTGCCGTGGGACGTTGTGGGGCGGGGATCTAAACTCTGATTTTTTATATATTATAAATAAATAGAATTATATAATATATTATCTATTTTTAGATCATATATAATATATTTTATTATAAATAATATAATATATATGTATATTTATAACATATTATATTTTATAAATAATATATGATATATATTAAAAATGGGTTCATAATATGATATGGAAAAGACATGATATACATAAATATATATCAGTCGATTAACCACCAGGTTTTTAGAGTAACCAAAAACCGATCCTTCGGTTTTTCAAAAATACCGAATTGGTTCGGTTCGTCTTTTCGATTTTTTATGAGCAGTTGAGGCTTTGAGCACCCATAATTTTGTTGACGTCACCTTAGCATAATACTATATAGCATTACCCGTAAGCCGTGGACCGTTAAGGCGTTAAACAAACAGAGAGGAAAAGGCGAAGAGCGAGTGCTTCCGCGACAGGGAAAGGGAAAATATGGGGGCGGAGGAAGAGCAGAAGGAATCCGGAACATTGGAATCACGGCCAAGGACCCAGCCGATGACAGAGGCCCAGTTTCTCTCATGGAAGCGCCAGAAGGTATCCTGCTGATTTTCCTTCTTTCACAGCTTCTGGGGTCTTTTCTTCTTCTTCTTCTTGAATAAATTTTCGATAGTTATTGGTTTACTTTTAACTACTTTTCTGCTCTTCAACACCGACTTTGATTTATGCTCCTTTATATATTGATGAGTGCGAAACGCTTTTTTGGTCGATACTTGATAGGAGTGTATTCAGAACCAAAAATTAGGGCTTTTAATCCTTCTGCGTGCATGTTTGTTTTCTTTTCAACCAAGAGGGTTACTCTAAAATTTTGTCTTTATTTCTGAAAATCAAGTATAAGCAGTTGTTTCATCATTTACTGATTTAATAGTTAATAATTAACATGAAATTCCACAATACTTGAACTATCAAAAAAAAAAAAAAATCCACAATACTTTTGTATGGTATTATGTTCATCTTAAAAATGTATATTATTTATTCATTTTTGTTGCCTAAGTGACACCTAGGCATTGACTTGCCTTGGCAGGCCAAAATGCTTATCGTCCCCCAGCCACCTTAACTACACTACTGGGTACTGGAATTTTTTGCGCCTTTCAGATTGCAACATTATCAGCAAGTTACAAGCCAACAAATGGTAGCGTGCTGTCTAAGTGTCTGCACATCTAAATCCCTTAGTTTTAAAGTATCTTGGTTACTCTGGTTTGAAAGAAAGATGATATACGATGAGTGCTCATGCTTACGAGTTCATAATCTAACATTTTATTTCAGTTGTTGGTCGGCTGTATGCTGTGTATTGTTTTTCTTTCTTGAGCCTGTTTCAAATGTTGGGGCTTCTTTCTTATGTACTTTAGTAAGACCTCCTTTGATTGTGATTGCTGGTGAAAAGAAACCTTGACATTTTAATTGATACCATTATCTACTAAAATGAAACTGACTATCGACAACAGAAATTGTTAGTAGACATTTATTAAATTGATAAATGTCTCTCATCAAGAACTAATTGTTACTTGAAAGCTAACAATTAACTGTAAATTTTAGAGCTCTGCCATGTTTAGATAACTAAATTGACAGTATCAGTTCAGAAAATTTTACAACATGAGAATTTTGGTGTCAATTTTTGACAGCGTGGCATTGAACTTCTGCACTTAACATCCAATTGGTTCTATTGTTTCATTTATAGATTATCAAAATAATGCCATTTTGTAGAATGGTCTAGTTATGTGTGTTCATATGGTTCTGCAGGATGCTGATGTGGCATCTAGAAGAGAAGCAGCAGCTAGGAAACGTGCAGAAGATATAGCTGCAGGAACAGTGCAAATGAATGGGCGAGAACTATTCTTGCATGAACCTTGGGTTTTCGATAATGATTGCTATTGAGGTGGGTCATGCCAACAAAATGGGCTTTGCCACAAGTTTACTTTTTCAAGTTTATGGATTCATTCTCGTGCAAGGACTTTATGGTATCTGGCAGATAAAGTGCTGAACTAAGTTCATACCAAAAAAGAAAAAAAAATTCATTCCCTCTTGGAGATCTCAAATCCTTCCCTTCTATGAAGCCTTTTGCATTTTATTTCTCTGCATGTTTGTCTATATCTACTTAATATCCAAAACCAGGACATAGTACATCTTCTGGGATTCTTTAGTCATAATGACAGACAGTGTGGTAGGTGAAAGTGTTCTCTAAAGACAGTCTTCAGAAGTTATCCATTGGATACCTCAATGACCATTCTTTTCAACTCATATTCCCAAGTGCAAGCAAGTGCTAATTTATGCAAGAACTGATGTCTGAAGACCTAAAATAGACTCTATGCCTTGAAATCAATATGAGCAAAGCAATTAACAATAATTTTGGTTTACCAACTTTCTGTGACTTAGCTGTTGAGTTTATTCTTTTTGTTTATTTTTTTATCTTAGCGGTCCTTGTGTATTTGATTATAAGCACAAGTGCACAACCAAGATCTGAAAAGAATAGGAAAATATGCTAATGAGACTCGAAAAGACATAAACAAAGAAATTTATCATACTCATTGTTAATAAATTATTGTGATTTCATACCCATGTCTATCCACTGCCATGGGACTAAATTATGCTTATGCTTTACTATGTGGATGATACATTTCTTACAAGTGGTTTTTCTGTTCTTTCTCTTCACACAGATGTAAATCTTCTAATTTTCTTGGTCTTGGTGCCATGTTGGAAACCATATTCTGTTGTTACCAGCAACAAAATATACATGCTTTTTTTATAAAGCAATAAAATTACATGATGGTGGTCCGTTATTCTATTCCTAGTTCCACTACATGTTAGAAGTTTAAACAGTGCTCTAAAATCAAGGTTTAAAAAATCGCAACGTATTGGCCGATACATATATTCCAGCAATATCGTGATACACGGAACGCTACAAATACAGTAGTTTCGTTCCTTTTCATCTGTATCGGATTGATACGGACCCGTATCAGGTCGTTTCGGGTCTGTATCGACCGATACAGGACTGATATAGACCGATATTTTCAATGTATCGGCCGATACATATTGTAATATTAGATTCTCTCTCTCTCTCTCATAAATAAGCCTATTTAATAATTCTTTCTCTCTAATAATTCCTACATTTGAGGAAACTTGCCCTAAATAACTCCTAATCCCCTAAATTATTACCTCTCTCTTAATAACTCCTTTTCTCTCTTAATAAATAATTAATTACTACATTTATGACAATATTCAAATTCAAATTTTAATTTGACCCACCATTAAAGCAATAAATTCGAAGTTGACTTGTCATTAAACCAACATATTTAAAACTACAAATAAGAAAGGTAAGGAGAATTGAACCTTGGTACCTTGATTGTAATAAACATAAACAAACCACTACACCATATTCAATTGTTGATTATAATTGTATGTATTATTATTCTTAAGCAAATATTTTTCTTCTTAGTGGACATTCATTAATTAATGTTAAAATTTATATACTAATAAACATTAATATAAATTATGTTGATTTTCTGAAAATTAATACACATTTTACTCCTTCCATTATCTTGAACGATTACCAATTTGTCCCTATATCTCACATTTTATATAAACTATTGAGGTATGGGTTTGTATGTTTAAATAACTTGTTTTCTTTATAAGTGTTTAAATAACTTATTTAAGGTCATATAAGATTTATATTTATTGTTATTAATGTATTTTTTTTAAGATTTATATAAGTTTCCTAATGTATCCATGCGTATCTTGATTTTTCGTATGTGTCCATACGTATCCCGAAATGTCTCTTAACCAATACATCTTACGCTTCCGATACTTTGAACCTTGTCTAAAATACCGGGCCAATCCCGAAATGTCTCTTAACCAATTTATGTATCCTCCTTTCATTTGGTTACTAAAAATTTTTTATACCACTGAGAAGTACAAAACCATGCATGTCTGGAGTTTTTCCTCCACAATAATTCACACTATTTTGGCAGGTTGTGGATCTAAAGCATGTGCATGCCTGTTCCTACTTCCTAGGCCCCATTCTTATATTGTTGGCACCAAGTTTCAAAGTATTGATACATGCACATAATGTGTAAGCTACAATACTCTTTTTTTATTTTTTTATTTTTTCTAATTGTCGTTTCAAGGTTAAGTAAGACTGGAGGGGTACTAATGATACCTAGAGACCCTCTTTTGAATTCTTTTAAATAGCATTTCAGTGGATTCAAAAACCAATACCTTGAGACCATCTCCTCTTTTATTGTCCCTTCGTCTTCAAGCTCTGGGATTGGATGGAATTTGGGTTTGAGAACGACTGTTAGAGATATAGATTTGGACAACACTTTGACTCTCCTGGGTATTCTTGAAAATGTGTTCTTTGACCCCACATAGGAAGACATCCGAATTTGGATCCCTTCCCTAGAAACTAACATAACCGAAACTACGTCGGCTGAAATCCCCAAGAAGAGAGCCCGTGATACAGTTAATCCCACGTGTCTGTGGCATTACCGACTTGGCCAAATCGGTATTGACCGAATCACAAGGTTGGTAAAGGATAGTCCTTTGGATTTTCTAACTATAGAAGATCTTCCCACCTGTGAGCCTTGTCTACAAGGCAAGATGACGAAACGACCATTTAACGGTAAGCCTGAAAGATGTACAGGCACACTTGACCTAATACATACTGATGTATGTGGT